TCCAGTACCTAGCCAGTACTGACAATAGTGGGAAGACGGATCCGACAGTCGGAGCATAATCTGTACCGCGCCGGTTGCTTTTTCAGTTCCGAATCGGTACAGACCGTCGGTACTTGCGGTAGGTACGGGCGCGGATCCCACCCGGTTGTAAATTCCGACATTCGTCCGACTTTTCCGCCTGGGGTATATACTATTCAAGAAAATAAAATTGTTTGTCACAAATTGACCCGTGTGTCTGCGCAGGTCTGTTCCTTCAGCGTAACTCACAGACATTTAATTTTTTTTTCACGCTAGCCCGTATTTTTACGAAACTGCTCTTGAATTCTTATTTTATGACGCCTGACTTTGTGCGAAATCAGAAATAGAACTCTTCTTTCAGATCTTAATATTAAAATTACCTTCAAAATTTTTCTTTATTTTATCAGAAAAAACCATTAGTAATAATTCAATAGACACTTTAACTATTTTTATAAATTTTTTTCCATATTCTCATTTCCTGAAGAAATTTTGTAATCTTTCTTGAACAAAGATTTTCCGTGTAGGGGTGAGTGGGGCAAGACGGGGTACCGGCCTTATTTAACAAACGAATTAACCAATGGCGATTATATTTTGCATAATACTGCACCGAGACGATAGTTTCTTGTTTACAAAACCTAAAAGCCATAAGAACAAATCTTTTATCTGTTTTACTAAAAAAAATCGTTTTCGACGATTTTCTTGTGATTTTTTCACTTTTTTTAGGAGGTGTTTATTATTTAATAATAACAGGTAATAAACTATATAAAATTTTTTATAACTGGCAAGGGTTACAGAAGAAGGGAAGCATGTGTTTTTTTTCTTTGTTGAATCGTGAATTGTACACGGAAAAAAAGTGTGCTAAAAACACACAAAGCGAACTGTTGCGTATCCCGTGCAGAAATTAAAATGTGTGCCTGATAGGGTACTGGACAGTTTTCCTGATCTCTGGTGTGGCTCTGGGTAGAGAAACTGACCAGTGCCCGACTAGTGTGTGACGCTGTTTCCGACCAATGCCCTACTTAGGGAAAAGCTGGTCAGGGCCTCGTCAGTTTTTCTTAAAATTGCCCTATTTTGTGAGGCTAATTTTATTCAAAAGAAATTACAATAAAATTACTGTAATTAAAAATATTATTATATTAGAAACATAGTGAACATATTCATTATATATACAACATATTTATACATAACATAATAAGGTATTATAGTCATTTTGACTAATTTAAAAGTGAAAATGATAAAAATAATATAATTTCAAGAAAAGAAAAACTTAAAAATTTTTGAAAAATATAATTTTTGGTTTTATGATTAATTCATTTTTCTTCATACCTCGGTCTAAAGTACGTATTTCCTGCTTCGATTTCGCAGCAGAAAGTCGAAGATTTGTGCATTGGTCGATGCACAAGCTCGCCCTCTGTTACAGCGGGAGCAAAAGTTGTTAGCTGTTCTGCATTACCGGCAGAGAATTTAAAGCGCGAGTGATCCAGACGTATAGGGATTGACAGTTAACCTAAAAGCTTATTGTTTTTTTTCTGGTGCTTTACTTTAAGAAAAAATGAATCAAAATGTAAAACTTTAGAATCTTTGAATATCGTAGGGAACATTCAATATGATCTCAATTTTGATGTAAACAAAAATTTATGTATCAAATACATAAATTTTATATTTCATAAAAAATTATAAATAATTTTTGTACTCTATCAGATTTGAAAAATAGTTAATACAATTAATAAATAAAAAAACTTATTTTATATTAGAAGGTTGTTTTTTATTACTTTCATTTATTCCTTTGGTCATTTATTGCAATTAATTATTTATTTAGTTGTTAAAATTGTAGTTATATTTGGATTTTGCTTGTCTTTTCGATGCCCCCCCCCCCGATCAGCAGCACTCGCTTCGTTCGTGCAGCAAATGTCGAGGCCGGCATCGAAAGTCAATAACGGCGTCTTTCTTTTAGAGAGAGATAGAGAAAAAGCCAGAGCTTCAGGAGTTGCCGATGGCGGCGCTGAAGCGGGGAGCAAAAGTAAAAGATGGCCGGCTGTCAAATCGAACGCGATTGCAAGATTTGTAATTAATAAATTATTAAGCGTACTTTCGGCCGGATATAAAGAAAAATAGTATACATTACACGGGCAAAAAGTTCGAAATTCCTGCATCGCGATGATGCAGGAATGTCGATGCAGGAATGTCGAACTTTCTGCCCTTATAATGTAATATACTATTTTCTTCATACCTCGGTCGAAAGTACGTACTGCCCTCTGCGATTTCGCAGCAGAAAGTCAAACATTTGTGGTTTGGTTGATTTTCATACCCAACCTCTATTACAGCGGGAGTAAAAGAATTCTCTGTCGGTAAATAAGAAAATTTTGAGTTAAATGACAATTTAACGAGTAATTGTTATCGCAATATAAAATGAGAAAAAAAACTATCAAGAAAACTTTTTATACTTCATAAATTTATTATCCACAAGCTCTGAATATTGAAATGAACGAAATCTTTTGCTGATATAATAATTTTCAAAACTTATTTTAATAAACATTAAAAACAAAAATAAAATAATTAAAAAATTTCTAATTTCTTTTTTAATACGTGCCAAAATGTTATAATAAAATTTTAATAATTTGAAGAAATAATGAAATTGTGTTCCTTAGAACGTTTAGAATTTTAGAAATATAAAATTAATTTTGTACCACCAGAAAAATTCTTTTGAAAATATAATATTAATTTATCTTTTTCACATTTTCTTTCGTGCCTGCCCCCGACCAGAAGCACTCGCTTCGCTCGTGCATCAAATGTCGGGGCAGGCGAATATTGTTTGCAAGAGAGAGACAGAGAAATAACCAGAGCTTCGCGAGTGTCCGCAAGAGGCGTTGAAGCGAGGAGCAAAAGTAAATAAAGATGGCCGGCTGTCAAATGAAACACGATTGCAATTTTCTTATAAAATAAATTAGCGAGCGTACTTTCGACCATATACCTATAAAGAAGAATAGTATACATTACAAGGGCAAAAATTCGAAAGCCTTAAACTACGCGATGATGCCCTCGGCTTCGCCTCGGGCATCATTTCGCGCAGTGCAGGAATTTCGAACTTTCTGCCCTTATAATGTAATATACTATTTTTTTTCTTATTTAATGAAAGAAAGAATTAGTTAAGGAAAACGAAGGTAAAAAATGAATGTTTAATTGTCTGCATTAAGTTTTTATTAGAGGGTAGAAAATTTCATTGAATTTAGGAGAATATTGTTTGCAATTTATCGTTTATGTAACTATTTTGTATAACGAGAGAACCTGCCAGGAATTTTGAGAGGGGTGAAAGTATATGTCGGAAACATATGCATTTTGAAAATGCTTCATCAATGATTTCACATTACACAAACGAACTAGTGATGACGGGCAATGTCTGCCGAATTTTGAGTTAATTTAGCATCGTTCACCACAGAATTGACCAAGCATACTGAAACCAAGGGGCTATTTATTGCAAATCGATCGATCTTCTCACGCACGTCCGCGCAACAAACAATACCTTGCAACAGCGACGATTAATTATATGTTGCCGGTGGCAGCGTATGAATCATACAATCAATTTTGACCTGTTCACTTCGGCTAGTGCCACCTACACACGTTCTCGCTCTCCGTCTCTCTTGACAAAGCATGAGGCGCGCGGATAACTTTTGGTAATGTGGCGATGAACGAGAATCACGATCAACGCGAGAACAATGTATATTTATTACAAACCTCCTGTCGATAGCCAATAGATAAGAATTTTTTTTATTTAATTACTAAAAAAGTTCTATCCATAAATTGTCAATAAAATAAGAATTTTCTTTTTCTTATTTAATCGACTAAAAAGTTTTATCGATAAACTCAATCAAAATTTTCTTTCTTCAGTTTAGATGAATACACGTAAAGGAAAATTTATTCTAGTAATTTATTTTCGAATTAATATATATTATTATTAAACTATTTATTTTCTTGAAACATTAGTTCTACTTGGGGAAAAAATGTTGATGATTAGTGAAGCTTATTTTCTTTGCAGAGAATTATCGCACATATATATTTATTAATTTTAACTTAGGATAAAAAAATCGCATGACGTGAGAATTTTCTGTTTTTCTTTTTTTTAATTTTTATTGTTTAATGAAGCATTCAATTACGAATGGGGCCAATTTAACGGTCTGGCAAATAAATTATTGGACTAAATGCATCAGTCGTACGCTGACAATACTTTCTATTGGATGATCTAATTGAAAATCCATTGTCACATTTAGTTTCCGCATATACGATTCGCAAACGTGATTTGATAATATCGACTATCTAATCAGAAAATAAAAACTGTAATTTGAGTAAAAGTATAATAATTATAAAAATACTTTATTTTACAAATGAAAAACTTTCTGTTGAATTTTGTTCCCGTTTTTCCTTTTTTCATATCTTCGAGTAATAATTGTCACATGAAAGTAAATTGATATTCCCTTTTCAACCATTATATATCACTTAATGTACGCTTTTGATCAAATTTAATTATTGAATCAGGCACATGGAGAAGTTAAAGTAGAAATTAATGTGCCAATTACAAGTCTGAGGATTCGTCAGCGATCCATAACAAACTTTACCCCTTATATAAGATTTCTCATTATACGCTTTGCCAAGAGATTTCGGCCCCCCGCTTTCCGAAGACGGTCTTCTAGTTCGGTAATTTAACGTACGATTGGAAACCCTATACGACCAAATCCTTTTCCAGTTCAATGACTTTGCCTCCCATTCGTTATACAGCTCTAGCAGTCGACAAGACAAGACAACTATTGTCACGATTAACTAATTCAATTAATTACAATTTTCAATAATAATCATCCCAAAGTAAATATATTATAAAGATTGTCATTTATGTAGTAATTTTATGATATGTATGTCCTGTATTATATTATTATATAATTATATTCCGTTTTTTAATGAACTAAATAATTTACTTATTTAAATTGACTTACATCAACTTTAGCTCCAAGTTGTGGAAACACTTTCATTGGTGGCAATTCCTTTGGAATGAATCTATAAAACTCTTTATTTCCTTTGTACCATTTAACAGAGTACAATGGAAATTCTCCTAAATCGTAGAGACACGTCATGTTAACTGTGGAATTTTCGGCAACGGCTGGAGGAATCAGTATTGACACGTCGATTAATCCTCGTACATCTAGAATCATAAATAATGCACAAAATCAGAATCTCCATCACTGAAATGCATTTGTTCCAAAATACAAAGAAAAAAATTGAAAAAAACTAATTTAGGTTTTAATATTTCTTTTTAGAAAAAATGTTATTTTATTTAATATATTAAGCACACTGTATCAATAATGTCTCTTAATTATCACAAAATTACCTTAAAACTTGATCAAAAATTGTCACAAGATTTCATAAGTCTTGTCTTAAAATTGTTTCTGCACCAAACCCAATAACGAACCAATAACAAAATTGATATGATACTGACGAATATTGACAGAATATTGTTCTATTTAGTCCTAATAATGCCACAAAATGGTCTCAAAACACTATAAAATTTGACTCAGAGTTTTAAAGAGTAAGACTTCATTTTGAGCCCATTTTATTCCAAATTTGCCACAAAATACCCGACATTGACAAATGTTTCCACAGCGCTGTCCCTATTTACCCTAATTTGTCCATATTTTGCCCCGATTTGCCCTAAGATTGACCTGACATTGGCAAATGTTGTGCCAATAAAATTAAGCCGTATCGTTTAGAGTTGATCATAATTTTGACGCAAGATTGTCTCAATGTTGTCAAATTGTCTAGATTTTGACATAATATTATTCCTATTTTTTTCCAATTTGCCCTAAATTTTACCTAATATTTCCAAATATTGAATCAATATTGCCCCTATTTGGTAATAATATTGTCATAATATTGATCAATTTGACACAATAATAATATACAGGTACAACTTCAGCATAATTTTATGACAATATTGGGACAAAAGCGACAAAATCGTGGGGTAATAACTGGTCAATACTGAATTATTTCTTCAATGGATCAATTTAAATTTTCAAAAGTACTTAATTTTCAACCTTCAATCATTTTTTTTACTTTTAGACTGATAAAAATAAGTTTCTAAACTTTTTGTCAATGTTAAGAATTTTATTTTTTAGCATTCTTAAAAAAAATTTTTTTCTCGAGATCAGGTTGAAATATATTATTAGAAATAATAAAAAGAAGGATTTTCTTTGTATCAAAATGTTATATTAAAAAATAATGATGGTTTAACAAATTTTGTAATTTTAATAGTTTTTTAAATTATTTTTTATAAAATGTTAATAAAAAATATATTCTTCATGTCTAATTCAAAACAAAAAAATTGTCTGTATTCTAAACTTACTTCTAAGTATCGTTTTCGATAAAGAAATTTAACTAAATTCGACTGGTCAAATTATACATATATCATACAAATTTTTCTTTCAAGTTTTTGCATCTCTTAACAGCATGCACTCTAAATCTGAATCAGTGAAAATTTCACTGATTTCAATTCAGTGGCCCAGTTTTCTTTGAAGAATCAGTGGAATTTCACTGACAATCAGTGGTTTCTACTGATTCTCAGTGAAATCCCACTGATGAATTAAAGAAAACTGGGCCACTGAATTGAAATCAGTGAAATTTTCACTGATTCAGATTTAGAGTGTGCGACTGTTAGAAATTCAATGGTAATTTTTTCAACCACTTTTCTCATTAAATATTTAATAAATTGAGTTAAAATTTTGTAAGAAAATTTTGCACATCACTGGATGTGCAAAAGTTTTAGTAATTTAAAATAAATTATAATAAAACACTTTGAAATGTGAAATCGGTAAAGAAGAGAAATTTATTAGAAGTGACCAATTAATTTTTAAAATATTAAAACTTTTGCACATAACTGCCTTTCTTTATTGTATTCTAGACTTTCGTAGAAAATTTCAGTTCAATTTATTAAATATTTAAAAAGAAAAGTGGTCGAAAAAATTACAACTGAGAACCTGACAATCACATGCTGTTAATTCAGTAGTAGGGGGAAGTCCCCTAGTACCGGACACCTAAGGTTTTCATAAAATAAAATTAAAACTACTTAAAAAAATATGACTTCATTTATGAATTAATTAACTCTCACCAAAATCAATTAACAAAAATACAATATTTTTATAAACTTTTCTTTTAAGTTCAATTTAGTTTTGGTGAAAAATAATTCAATTTTGATATTGTCCCCTAGTACCGGACAGTCTAAAACTTTTAATTTTACGCGCAAGATATTATTGAAAAATGATGCAGCGATCACCCCTTGCGGAATGGTTTTACCAAATGTCTCCCCACGTGGGTATACATTTGGGAGACATTTGGTAAATGGCTTTACAATTCTGTTAAAAGACAGAATTTGATGAAAAAAACGATTGAAAATCAAAAAGGAACATTTGGAGAATGAAATTATGCAAAGATTTTTAAAAAAAAGATGTGAATAATTAATAATTAACAAAAATGTGCATAGATTTCATTGATATTTTATAGCAAGATTATTTTTCATAATTACTTATGAAAACGATGTAACTAAAGGAAAAAATAATTTACATTGGTAAAAGAATGTAAAAATATTAATTATGTATATGAATAAGACTAATTAGACAATAAAACTTGTAATTTAATTAAATTTAAATGGTAAAGTAATATTAAAGTAATATCTACTTTACCAACAACTTATTCTATTTCAGCATTAGAAAGACACTAGAAACAATCAAAAGTCCCTAACGGCAGATATCCGCGCGCGGCGTTTGGTTTGACGCAATATTCTACAGGGTGTTCTTTTTTCAATGATGGCAGAGAAATGCTACTTTTAGATGAAAGTAACTTAAGGTTATTATTTCTAATTGTAAAATAATTACCGTTTAAATTTTTTAATTATAGTCACCATCAATATTTTCTAAAAATTAAATATTCTCACCTTTTTTCCAGGGCATGTTCCGAATAGAAAAATTTAAATCTTATTTTTATTGGCCAAAAGTCTCCTTTTTCTCTTTAGAAGTTAAAATAAAACGTTATGTTTTTTAAAAATTATAAATATTCTTACAATTTTTTTCAATGGAGCAAGGAAAAAAAACGTTTCTTTTTGTAAATAGGAGGAGGAAATATTTAATTTTTAAAAAATAAAACATAATCCCAACCCCAAAAGAAAAAATTGATGATTAGACGAATAAAAATAAGAAACAAACTCCTCCTAGGGTAAAAGTGGGTATTATCGCGGGTGTGGGTATTATCGCGGTATTTTATATTTTAATGAATATTTCAAATAATATAAAAAATTTTTGACACTAAAAAATCACTCCTTGAACCTGACAACTAAGACATTATAATATGCATCATATTTTTGATTATTTTTCTATTAATCAATTTATTAAAAATGTTTTAAAATTTGTTGTCTGAAAAAAGTTCAAAATGGCTCACCTTGGTTTGAGATTCAACTCTACAGTGGTGTCAAAAATTATTGTTTTTATGTTCTATAAAACTCTAAGAGATGATTCTTTTTTTATATTTTGGTAAATTTATTGTTATTCTTCATAAAAAAATTTGTTTAGTTAAAAAAAATTGATTTTTATTAAATATTTACAGTCACGATAATGGAGACATCTTTTTTTTTAACATGTGGGTATTTTCGCGGCTCCTATCATAACCCTTGAAAGTAAGGTTAGCAGTGTGTCTCTAAAGTTTAAAACTAACGTTGAAATTATAGCCGATATTATTTTTGCTTGTTTTAATTTATATTTTAATAAAAGTACTTTGTATGTATATAAAAAAAATTAATTTTCAACTAAATAAATGTTGAATTAACATTGTTTTTCCACTTTGCACAGTAACTGTTAAACACATTTAGACACAATAAAAATTTCGTTTATTTGAACGTTCAGAATTTTAGTATATCTTATAAGAGTTACAAAATACAAGCAAGAAAATAAAGAGTAATGGAAAAGATAAAAAAATTAAAGTAAGTGAGATCTGTATATTTAAGGAAAAAAATTTTAATAGCTATAAAAAAGGAGCAAAAGTGTCAAATGAGAATTGACTATACGTTAGAAATATTTGATAATAATTGCTTTAGAATATTTTATCAGAGTATTATTTTATATTCTGAGACTAATTAAGTTATTATAATAAAACCAAGTATCTTTCTTCTTGTGATACTATAGTTTACTATTGAATTCGTCCATTTATTATAATGCTTAAAATTTTCTTTAATTCAAGTTCTTGCGATATTTATATTTATATTTTTAAAAACTATATTATTATTCCTTTTAATTTTTTACATTTACTACATTTTAATTAAGTAACTATTACAAAAATCCAAAAAGCAATAAATAAATTATCCGCGATATTTACCACGCGATAATACACTCATCCGCGATATTTGACACGCGAAAATACCCTCAAGCCATTACAAGTCCCGCGAAATTACAAGCAAAGGAGTCTTCTATTTAATCATTTATTTAACGATTAAAACTATTTTTTATAACATTGGCAATTTTTTTTTAAAGAAAAGAAAGCTTAAATATTCATTTAAAAAAAACAAAGCCATATACATTTATTTATAATTTTTAAACCACTTGGATGTATGACGTATACAAAATTCCTCGATAATACCCACATTTACCCTATTTTCAAAATCAATTTTTCTAATTGTTGGTTAAGTTAAACAAAATGGAGAAAATAATTAATATTTGAAAAATAAAACATATAACCTCAACCCCCAAAGAAAAAATGGTTGTTTTAGACCAATCAAAATAATAAACAAACTCTTCCTATTTTCAAAATCAATTTTTCTATTTGTTGATTAAGTTAAATACAAAATGGAGAAAAAATTATTATTAAAAAAATAAAACATATAACCTCAACCCCCAAAGAAAAAATAGAGGCTTTAGACCAATAAAAATAAAAAACAAACTCCTCCTATTTTCAAAATCAAATTTTCTATTTGTTGATTAAGTTAAATACAAAATGGAGAAAAAGTTATTATTAAAAAAATAAAACATATAATCCCAACCCTAAAGAAAAAATAAATGCTTCACACCAATGAAAATAATAACTAAAGTCCTCCAACATAAAGATAGAAATTTTTCTTTTTTTTTGCTTCAGTTAAACAAAAATATGAAGCGAATATATAAAATTTAA